CATGATGAATTGACCAACCTGATCAAGATAAAACAAACTTCTTTAATTGTCTGCCTAATGCTTTCTCTCACAATGCAGCTTACTGAGACAATCATCCACATGGCAAAGCCACTGTTAACAGGAATTGAGACTTAGGTGGTGCATAGATTTTGGACTGGATCTTTTTCAAGGGAATGAATTGGATAGTGGAGATGAAACAGACCCAGACTGATCAAGGCACACAGCAAAAAGGGCAAGACTCCTATACTGTGATCTATCACGGCTGCAAAATCAGATACAGCTGCTATGTATGACCATGGCTAGCTAATGTTATGAAGCTGCCCTTCCTGATTCACTAACAAGTCAAACTTTCTAATATCACAAAAAACAGCACTGTTTTAATTTTCAGATAAAAATCTGTTTTAAAAAATGTAAATACTTAAGAGTTGGTGTACAGGCCAAATATTTTTCACTTTATATCCCTGTTCCAAAATTCATGGAAATGTTCCACATGACTTCAGCGAGGTTTGGAGAAGACTCCATGTATAGAAGCTGAAAATATATACATTTAACATTATTAACACTATATGACACCTTCTTAGGGTTATTTCATTGAATTTTGCACCTAAGTTTCTCCAAAACACAAAACAGGCCAAACTGTGTGTCCTAAATATTATAGAATTCTTTATCTCAGAACAGCCATAAATTATAACTTTTTATATCCTTAACTCCAACTACATTTTCCTCCATATACTACAGAAAATCAAAGAAAGAAATACCCAGCACACTTTTAGGTTTAATTGCCTTAGTTTCTCATGCACAAAGCACCCCAGAATAAGATGCATACCTTGTATTTGAAGCAAAGAATGAAGAAAAAAAGATCTTTCTCTGTAGTAAGTAACTAAATAGTAGCAGCTAGGGAGCTGAGCCTACTCACTGTGGATCCCACACAGACTTTACTTTTACCCAGTAAAAATTGCTCTTATTGTACTTCCTTGTATATAGTGTGCACTCTAATTTCCAGCAGTTGCTTTTTGAAGAAAAATATGTGGTATACGTGATAAAATACAGCATAAGCCTTGGACAATTTGATGAGGAGGTCAGATGCCTGCAGCAAACATGGATTGCAAATAGAACATTTACCTATGATAACCACAGGAATTGGTTTGGAATCGCTCTTATAATACTGGTGTTTGGTCAGCACTGAATACATCTTCCTGCCTGAAAAGATTAGGACCAGAAATTCACCTGTAAAGACAAAAGGCAACCATGAACTATAGTATTTGTTATAACAACAAATATATTTTGTCTCCTTCCCATACCCTCCTACAACAGCCGACTTAAAAATTTCACCCACATACACTGAACTTATCAATTCAGCTTCTTATTGGAAACTTAACATCAAATTTGGATTATGCCATAAATAAAAGAAAACAGCAGCCTTCCAGCTGGCATACTTGGCAGCTTCCACTCGTGGCAGGTCAAGGACTAAAATAAACATAGCATGTTACAGGTGAATTGTGGCACAGCTGCATTGGGGGAGCCTTCCTTTCATCTACACTGGGACAGAGTTCTTGCTACAGCAACAGCAAAAGCCCCTTAATTATTTTTCAAATTTTTCTGCTAATGCAAATTATTACTACATATTATGATGGATTTTATTGTTCTAGGAAATCTACACATTCCATGAGTACTAGAGCATGCATTTTAATCAAAACTTCTCCCTGAAGGCTTGAAAACTGCTGGCCTCTTTTAATATGCCCCACTGCAGTGCTTGAGTTTTGAGTCATTTGAACTACTAAAACTAAATCAGTGGATGCCTTCATTAACAAGTATGTTAATTAACTCCTTGTCTTCTTGTAATGATATACGTTACTGTCACAGATTTACAGGATGCAAAATATTTACATTCAGCTAGTAATCTAATGTGTTGTGTTAGGAAACATACTGTAGTTATGTTTCCAAACACAAAATGCAAACAATGCATAGTCTTACTAGACAAGTTTCATGCAGATTTAAGGTTGTGGAGAGGAAATAAAAAAGTCAAGAGCAGTGATAAGGCTACATGTTCTGTACCAGGACAGCCAGCTGATCTGGGTTATGACAACAGAATATGGCACAAAACTATATTACTGCTCCTATGGAATTTCTTGTTTGAGGTTTGGAGAGCCATAGAAGTCCTCTAATTCTGCTTCCTTCAATAGCAGGCTCCTTTGGCCTCTAGCCATTCTGTTCTGCTGCTATCCTTGTTTACAGGAGAAGTTCAAGAGATGTAAACTATCAGTAACCATCTGCCTCATCTGTGACTTCTGATATGTGACCGGGATGCAATGATCATGGGAAATGATTACTGGGGCTTGTAGGCAAGAACTACATCACTAGCAGTTCTGCAAAAGATGACCCACACAGTGTGTCCACATACGTATATAGTTGTAGATCAAAACTTAAGTCATTAAATGATGAATAATACACCTGTCATTTGAAAGAGAATAGCAATCTGCATTGTTAGGTACAATAGAATTAGCAAACCAATCCCCACTATGTCATTCTGGTATTTTAATTCAATAAGACAGGATATAGATGGGTAAGCAAAGTGTAAGGTATTCACATCTACCTTCCTGCTACCTTAGGCTGCAATGACTTTTCCCTCTTCTATAAATAGTGCTAAAGTCCTTTGAAATGCATTTGATTAGTCACTTATTCTTGCAGTATGGCTAATCAAGAGAGTAAAAAGAGTTCCAAATTTTATTGTGGTTACTATGACTAGAAAAAAAAAGGTTAAAGACAAACTAGCTTTCAAGCAATTTAAATATTGAAATTAAGAACACTGTCATTTTGTAAACCTTAAAACAGTTCCAAGCTCCACTTAAGAACTGAGCCTAGCAGGGTATTATATGCTTTTTCACTAAGTGAAATTCTCTGGCAAGTAGGCTGTATCTTCCCAAACAAGTTTGGCAAGTCATAATATCTGCCACAAACCTCTCACCAACTAAAGCAATATTCCACTTAAACCTGAATTCTACAGTCGCTACCCATTGCTGGAATGTATTAAGATCCATGGAGATTGAATAAGAAGCCACAAAACCCACTATCAGATTTTTAAAAAATCTTGCAAGCAGATTTGTCTAAGTTGGAAGTAAAGAAATTGGTATTCCTACATGCAGAATATCTCTGTTATAAATTAATTGCAGTGCCAATATATACCTCCTGCCTGCCATCTTTAGGATCCCTATTAACATTACAAATTCTTATATGTACCCTACTACAGTGGACCCTGACCCACAGATCAAGAAAACATGTCATTTGCAAGACACTCTACCATTGTTCCTAGACACTAAAAAATTAAAAATTTAAAACTGAGACTGACAGAGAGAATAATTATGATATTCCCAGCAGCACTGCTCACTCAGTAGTGTTGCCCATGGGCCAATGAATGTTGGAGACCAGTGCTGTATTGAAATAAATTGCCCCTGAAATGCTGACCATGGTAGCTATTCCAAGAAGGGTTAGGTTCACCCCAGTACAGAGAGGCCATGCAAGGCTGATGCCTCATTTAAGTCATATATAAACTTCGTGCAAGTCCTGTTCATGGAGCTGAATTTCACTTACATTGAGTGAAAGGTGAATTCAAATTAATACCCTCTTTCTGCGGATTAAAAACAGGTTTTTAAATGCAGTAAATGAATATGCCAATTGTACTAGATTAGCTGGATTAGTGATGGCATCAGGTAGGCTGGAAATAAAGGTGATAGTGAAGAATGTTGATTACAAAATGACAAGTTTTCTTGGAGGGATATGGCTAACTCAAAGTCTGGTAGAGCATTAGTCTTCCTGAACAATAGCATTGTAGATCTTCTTGAAGGCATGAAGGCCGAGCTACCCTTTGGGGTTTTTTGTTTTGTTTTGTTTTGTTTTGTTTTGTTTTGTTTTGTTTTGTTTTGGGGGGGGGGGCAGTCAACATTCCATCACCTGGGTTTGAGAGATGTCAAAGCATCCATAATTGCTCATTAGGAATTAACACATGCTTGTCTGTTGCTCTACTTCCAGGTTCCAGTGATTTTTTTTCCACTAGCTTTCTAGTACTGGTAAACTACGTGCTTCCACTGACAGAAACTATGTACCAGGGAACCTCAACCTAGTTAACTGCAATCAGAGGGGAATCGGGACTTTTTGTAGCCGGCGGGGGCAGACTGTTGCAACAAGAACTCCAGCCTTGGGGCTGGAGCCTGCTAAGATCCTCAGGGAAAACTGCAGAGCAAGAACAGTCCAACAATTAATTAGGCTGAGTAAGAACCACTGGGCACATCTCCAGGGGCAGCAGTCAGCTGATCAAAAGGGACATGGCTTGGCTGCTTATAAGCTGTGGCATGCAGTGTAGGCTTACAGGCTGCAGGGGAAAGGTGGTACTTTGGGGCTGAAGAAAAATTAAGGACCTTCTTTATGAAGGTGACAATTATTATGGTCCTGATAAGGTTGAGTCCGAGTTAAAACCAGATGGTTAATTCTGTGGGTTGGTTTTCTTTTATTTAAATTTGTGGCTGTAGGGAAGGTTGGGAGGCTGTGCCAGGGGTTCTTTGTGAGATCAGCTTTGGTCAGATGTGAGGGGCTGGGAACCAGGAACCCAGAGTTTGAGGCAGTGTACCTGGACTGACAGGGTTCAGGCAGATAAAATATGCAAGGCCAGCAGTGCTGCAAAAGATTCTTAAATCCAAACTCACATCAGATAAAATGCAGGCTAAAAGACCACATTACACCGATTTCAGAGCTTGTATCTAGTTAAAGTTAGGTGGCTGATGCCTCTGGATACCACTTTGTTTTGATCCAGGGTTACATGCAACTTTATTATCCATCACTGTTTTAACTAGTACCTTAGCAGAGCCCTACTGATTAAAAAAGGGAGGGAAAGTCTCTCTGCCTTGGAGCTTCTCTCTCTGGTTTATGGTAATAATTTCAGTTATGTCTTTATTCATCACAAAACTTATGCCTCTGGGCCAAGTTCTTCCTCAGTTTACACCTCTTTCCCAATCTGTTTACTGGATTCGTGAGTCCTGGAAAAACATGACCGAATGCAAAATAGCAAATACACAATACAAGCAGATGAAGTCACAAGCAAAGGAACCAAAGGCAAAAATCTTTTGACCACTCAGAACTTTGGGCACCTATACACATGCAGAGAGGCTGCTCTGATAGGTTGTAATTATGGCATATTGGAGCAGACTCAATTAACTGAGTCTGCTGGAGCATGGTAATTACTGTGCTCTAGCAGATTCAAGTGTAGCATGTATCAGTGTCTCTGTGCTGAAAGATGGTAATGGGGAGCATTAACTCAAACTCAAAGCACCCCTCAGCCATCTTTCAGTGAAGAGACACTGATACATGTAACACTCTGGGTGCTTTAATTGGAGCCACTCTAAAGTGCTCCTGCCTCCCCCCCCCCCACC